AACAGCACATGTCATTAGCACTTTACAAACTTACAACTATTCCCAGGTGTGTGTCAAGCAATTATCTTTCTTGTACAAACACATGCCTGCAGACTCTGCTGCTATTCATCTCCCCATCACCTGCTGCTGCTGTTCTTTTTGGTCATTTGCTAGGGAACTTCCAGACTTGGAATACATAGCCGGAACAGCAGCAATCTGGAAAACCTGGGGACAGTGGTCATTTATAATATTATGGTCATTCATAGATAATGACTACCATCTACGACCATCAAGTCATGATGACTATGCCACAGATTCAACTTGCTGTCACATCAGATATGTTGTAAGGTATCCAAGTTTGCAGAGGCTCCCTGTGACATTCTGCACCTTGCCTGGGCAGAGCAGCTGAGCTGTGCTTTGACACGCAGGTTTTTGTTTTAGAAACACCATCAAGAATTACAGAATTCGTAACTTTTAACAAGTTTTACATTTCAAAAATAAGATCGGATGGGATCTACCTACATTTTCTCTTGGCTGCTTCTGTTATTATACCATAAGGAAATGATCCTTATGACCTTATCAGTTCTTTTAAATGGGAAGAACAATTACTCCTCACTGGATATCACTAAAAAGCTTGCTTTCATATACAGCTGAACTCTGCTCTTGGCTGAGAAAAACACAGGAGAATGCAAAAACTTTTAAAATATTATTTTATTGAAATAATCCACTATACATCTTACACATCTGCAACTTGTGTATCTAAGATACAGTTAGTCTAGGACTTAGCCTTGGGCTAATGCAGTATGTTCCATACGCAACGTTCAGTAGTAGTTTTCTAGATTGCAAAACAGAATCAGAAAGTTCTTCATCGATCCTCGTTTTTCACCCAATTTCTTCGATGTACTAAACATCTAAGATTAATCTTAGACAAGCGGCCGACTTCTCTCCCTCTGCAAGGCAGGAATGATCTTACCCGTAACAACCCCAGAAGACATAAAATGGGAGCAGTAAGCATAGAGTCTACAAGACCTCTTTCAGTAAGAGTATTTGTAGGTATTTGCTAATAAAATCTCCGTTGTTTTGAAACTATTTCTATAATTTTGTATATTTTCAAAAAAGTAACACTCTTCTAACAGATCCATACCAGATAAAAACACATTAGACTTTAAAATTCCATAATATATTCCTATTTCTTTTAGAGCAGCTTCACCAATCACACATTTGTAATAATTAAAAGAATCTATAAGCTCAGTGATATCATTAAGTGTTCACCATATCATAGATGTGTACTTTCCCCTCTATTGCGTTCTTCCTCTCCTGTGCTCTTATTGAAGTCAAAGAGCCTAGTCCTCGAGACAGTAAGGACTACTTGGTGCTAGTGACTGCAAAAAAAGACAGAAAGATAGAAAGCTCAAACAGGAATCCTCCACTGGGAGTGAAATCCCAAGGCAGTAAAAGCCAGCAAAGCAGYTTTGTGTCACCGTATCCTACAGGCGTGGAACAGCTTTAACTGTGGTCAGTCATTGCAAAACTGAGTACAGTTCCAGATGGAAAGGGAAAAGAAATCCCTTTGCCTTCACTGAATTGTAATAACCACAGACATCTCTCTTCTACATAAAATGCTTAGATATTTATTACATAAATAGGATTAGAAAGTAAATTGAAATTCTTTAAGAGGCAATTTATAGAAAGAGGAATAGCCTTGACAGAATGTGGTGTTCATATTGTATTGCAAGTTCAATTTACTTTTTCCAAGAAGATAAGTTTTTCCAGTATTTGCCAACATATCCTGATTAATGACCTTTTGAAAGCAATGTATTCCYAACTTCTGAAACTGGTTTTGTGAAATGTCTGTGTACAACTTCTAAGTAAGTGATCAATATCACAACCTTGAATTGCAAGCCAGATTTTGCTTCCAGCAATTCTACATCAAATATACCTCAGCAGCAATATAATACCCCAAGGTTGTACCCTACATAAAGCACACTTTAAACTAATCGATTGTGTTTGTGAATTGATTGTGTTTAACTCACTCAAGTCTCCTTCCCAAGCATCTTCCACTTCTGTTTGTATGTAAGATTAGTAGATCTGAGCAGATGATCAATTATATGCAAGTTGTTTCGTTAGATGAARCAGAAGGACTTGCACACTTCAAAAATTCAAAGGAACTTTAGGGTTCATCACCAAGGAGGCACATTTGCAGGGGGCACACATAGGACTGCGCATGTGAACAACTTCATGGACAAGGCTGGTCAGTCCCCTTGACTCCAGTGAGAACCATGCATGCCTTTTTGCAGGACCACTGCCTACTGCATGTCTAACCTGCCATCGTTTGTCCATGTCCCTTCTACCAGGTACRCTGTGGGTGACATCAGTAAATAAAGTAAGAGACAGCAGCTGTACCAGGGCAGAACAGAAATAACCTTCCCATGAGATGAGAATTCTATGAATAACCTTTCCTCTCTCTTTAGACTGAACAGTTCTCATAAATAAAGCCTGCAATTATTTTAATCAAAGGATAAGATAGAAAACATTGCAATAAACTTATCCAATCCAATAATGTGAAAGTGCAAAAGCTGCCTTCTGTGACCAATGCTCTGAGAAATTCAGCATGACTATATCAGCTGAAGACACCCATATAGCAATTTCAGAGTTACATAATTCAACAAAGGAAACAGCAAGCACATTTGGGTGACCTCAACATTCAACATTTGGATAAAATTTATGTCAACACAGTCTTAAAGGGAAACTTTTTGCTATTATGTCGTAAATACAGCCAGTTTGTAAGAGTACATTGCTAGCATCTTCAAAAGTTTTGTTTGCCTGTTTTTTAAAGGTGCCTAAATATCCATCTAAAAAGCATTCATTCATATTTTTATTTTTCTGGGAGCAAACACAAGGAGCAAGATGGTGTCAGATCTTTGTACTAGAAGGCTACACAGAATACCGACTCGGGAAAAGCTACCTGTATTTGCAGATATAGGAAACTTGCAAAGTATAAGCCATGAGGAAACAAACTGAGAGAATACAAATGGGGAGGGAGATTAAATAAAATAATAATTTAAAAAAAAAACAGAAATAATGAAAGATAATGAACTACTAAATTCTAACTGAAAGCCTTCTCACTGCTAGTTTAAAATACTCAAATATTTCTTTCATTTAAAGAAAGCTTATGAAAGGGTAGGTTAAATTAAAACTCAGCTTGCTAAAGAAAATGAAAAATGCATGAAATCAGCATTTTTTAAAGTTATCATTAAATAGCAGTCTAAAATGTAGATGTACATTTTAGAAAGACAACCTTATGTAAAAGTAATGATAAAGTACTGCTTTGGATAACAGTTACTTGCAGTGCCTGATAATTTATGCTGAAAAGGAATAGCTCTCCAGTAGTAGCAGGAAAAAAAAAAGGAATATTGCACTTTGTACTTTTAGTAAAAAGTCTTCACCAAATTCAAAGCTCACATTATCTTCACGTAGATAAACTGATTTGTTCAAACAGCCAACTACGTCACGGCCGTTCAATCAATAGCGCAGCTGCRGAGCTGCCAGAAGGCCATAGTCTAACAGAGAGGGCTTTTGACTTTGACCATGGTGGATTTCAAAACTTTGCTCGTTTCTCTTCCTTATGTGCGCAAGCGCAGTCCTCTATGGAAATGCAGGCATACTCTCATACACTTTTCTAAAGAGAAAATTCTTTCAAAGCTTTAAACGTCTGTTAACAGAATCTGGCTGCAATTTCTCACAGGCTTGTAGGATAAAAGTGAACTAAGCCTAAAAGGTCACAATGCATTAGTAACTCTCCCTTCAGGTGATTCTTCATAATGTTTCTAGTAAATTGAATCTACCACTCAGCAAAAAAACTCCGTTTGTCATTTTGCAAGCCTATTTTCCCTTCAAATAAAACACTGGACGCACGCAGTGATATTCTGTTTCCCATAGCRGACATGTGGTCAGAAATGTGAAACACGCGTTAGTGGCCTTGGCCAAAGCCCGCTGGCTTTAGTGGTGATTTGCACCCGTCAGGAAAGATGATGCAAAACCTGCCTGGCAGATTAATGCCAGTGAGAGCAACAAAGCAGCGCGGCGCTGGGAGCACAGGACTGGGTCTCAAGCTCTGTGCCCTGCTTGCTGGGTGGCAAAAAATATCTCCTATTGCTTTCCAGCAGCTCCAGCTGAGCCAGGCCGGCTTTGCCGCACTGGGAGGGAGCCTTCTCTTAATGGGGAAAGATCCTCCCTGATACCACTTGGAGAGCAACTGATGGAAAATAAAGACACACATGCACAAGGAAAGCAAAACATGGAGCTGACACTTATTGTTTATGCCAAGATACAGCTTTTGTTACAGAGCGAGATTTAACTTTTTTACTGTAACTTTTCTAATTAAGTTATTTTTACAGTAGTCACAGGGAAGATATAAGTTCATTATCATGTGGAGAGAAGAGGTCAATTAATGTTGCACCATATGAGAKCATAAGTAGGGTACAAGACCATCCTTGTTCAGTCCGCTAGACATGGTCCTCTGAAGAGATTGGACAGCCTGCAATCTAGAAGGTCTAGCTGTTGAATACAAGGAATTCTCATCTACTCTTTGTACAACAAATACAAAAAAAAAAAAAAAAAAAAAGCCATTTTTTACCTCTTTCCTAATCTGTAAATTGTTTCTGGTAACAGTACAAGCATATTCAGCTGCAGGGCTTTGCATTAACAGCAGCCCCTCGTTGCCAACACCGCGAGGTGAGGAAGCCCCGGTGCCATCCCGGTGCCTCCCGCACTCAGCGTGGGACCAGGTCCCGCGGCGGCGCCCGGCCCAACTCGTGGCCGCGTTCCAGGGGCAGCGACAGCCGCCTAGGCCAGCGCAACACCCCTCGGTGCCGGCCCTGCGGGGCGAGCCGTGCCCCACGACACCGTCACCGGGTCGGACTCGCGGCAGCTACAGCATTTCTGCCCCGATGAAACACGACTGAAGCCTAGTTTACCCTTSATACTGAAATCACCTGCAGCGGGATTAGAGCACACCGGTTGTAGCAGCGTTCCTGGTATGTTCTGTCCACCGCGGACCTCGGAGCTTACTATTTTTGGTTTAATGGGTCATTACAAGAGCCTGTTGCTTTCCATTCCGGTGCAAACATCCATTATGGTTTTAATGCAGTATCTCAGTAATGTTCTCCCATTTTTTTTATGCCTAGGCTTCAGGTAGGTAAGATAGAGTTTTCTCTGTTAAGCTGTACATTGCAAATGTACACTGCCAGGAAACACTGCAAATGTACACTGCCAGGAAACATCGCAAATCCCCAGTTTCTCGTCCTGTGTTGGCAATAGCTGTTGCTTTTTAATTACAAGCTTGCACTGCTGCATGCCATTTATTTACTTTCAGAGCTCAGTTACATTTTTCCTCCTCTGCCATTATCTGCAGCTGAGCTTGTCAACTATTATTAGACTTGAAAAGTCAGTCCGTTGCCAGAAGAACAAGCACCCTGACTTTGACAAATTTAATAGGATTAGTTCCTCCAGCAAAGACCCTCCGTACAGCAAGGGAAACTGTTCTCAACTCCATGCAACTCTTTCCCCGCGTAATTGAGTAAGATGTTAGTTACCGCCAGAGCCCTTTTCGGCATTCCCAGCCTTATGTCATTAATCCTCTTCGTATACTGAGTGCTTGGAAGCAGATCAGACACTGTACAACCATATCCACATGGAAAGGGCCCCGAGGAAACAAACCCAAAACTGCACGGACACGAGCAGCTCTGACAGCCTCGCACGCGTTGGCTTTGGCCGCGCTGCCTGCACTGGGGAACCTCGCAGCGTTTCCACGGGGGCGCTCAGGAAGGAGGGAAAAGCGAAGGGAGAAGGAGGGTCTGCGCCCCCGTGCCGCCCGTGCGCGCGGGCAGGGCGCGACGGGCGCGGCTGCCCCGGCACACGCGGGCACCGCGCTCCGCAGCCGGCACCGCCCGCGCCTCCC